ATTTAAAAACATGAAGATTTGAATTACCCTATTACTTATAACAGTTATCAAAATAAATCAAATTAAACAAGAAGACAGAGGAAAAAAGTAAAAGATGTGCATAAGTAGCAATAAATCTGCGATATAGATCAACATGATATTTGAGTGAAGTAGACACAGTAAACGTGTTTAAGCTTATTTACAGGTTGTCGTTTTACAGTTTGACAGCAACAGGCAGGAACGACTTCCTGTGTCGTTCTGTCGAGCAGCGCGGGTGAATGAGTCTGTCACTGAACGAGCTGCGGAATCTAATCGAGACATTATGAGAGAGGGTGTGAAGGAAAGTCCAATATCGACAAAACTCTCCTCTCCATCACCACTGTGGCACTGGGTTTTCTTCTGATACAAACTTACGTTTATAATATTAGAGTTAATTCTGCCTCTGATTCTTATTCCCATTTCAAACTTTATAAAATAAAACGTATTTTCTTCTCGCAGGCTCCCTCGGGTTTCTCACAGCGACCACAGATAATACAACTCCAGTGATGACCAGTTCGCCGACAGGTAAATATTTAAGGTTTTATTTAATCTTTTTTAAAAAGATCAATTGAACTGTGTCTATTATTATCATTTAACTTATTTAATAGCAAAGTTAGATGATAATAATAGTCAGAGTTTGAAAGTCACAGAATGGAACTTTGAGAATCAGACACAGTTTTTCAATCACAGCTTGAAAAAACTTCACAAGTGCAGAAAGTGAAATTCAACCCTTTTTAGGAAGTCGTGTGTTCTCTCTCAAAAGAGGTCTAGCAACACTGACTTCCCTCTAACCTGCAAACTATTAAATGTGTTAACGCTGTGTCCCGTCTGCTGTGTGAGGATTAAACCTTGTTTTCTCAACTCGGCAGCGACAACAAGAGTCATCCTCATGGAAGATTTCAACTCTCCTGTGCTCCTCATCTCCTTCACCGTGTGTCTGCTGCTCCTCATGTTGTTGATCACTAACACGGTGCTCTGCTGCCACTACAGGAGGAGACAAGGTCAGTGTCCTCACCTCAGCCTGATCTACATCAACCGATGGACACCTCACAATACGTCAGAATACAACACAGGAACAATTCATTTAAAGATTTAAAATCAATCAGGAGACGCAAACAGTCAGTGACATAACAACAAGAATAGTTAATGAGTGAAACAACCAGGGTAAAATCAAGGTGAACAGACAATGAGCGGACACAAGAGAGACTGAAAGTAAAAGTAAAGACAGAGATTAAAATTTGATTTACTCATTTCATACAGTTCATCATGTATAAATTATTTTATATGCCCTCAGCGTTTTTACTCGAGCAGACTCGCACCAGCCCTCGACCACGTCACCTCAACAACTACCACGAAACTGTCGACTTGGTCAAAGTCACCGCCAGCCAGCAGCAGTCAGATGGTGAGTGTGGTTTATAGGAACAAACAAACGTGTGAGTTCATGTTATGTGGGTTTTTTTTTTTTTCCTCTTGTCTCCTGAATTAGCTGTATTCACATGCACGGTGGTGAGACATCAAGTTGTTTGATTTATTTTGTGTTTGCCTCAGTCCCCACGGATCCCAGGTACCTGTGGACCCAGCGTAGTAGTGTTGACAGCAGATCAGTAGATACAGACTATGAGCAGTGTGACCCAAGCAATGCACCGTCTATTCCTTTATCAACCTTTCGGAGTGAGCTACATTCTTTCATTCCTTCTGTCTTTGAATCTTTGCATCTCAACATGTTGAACTCTCTCTGTCTTTTTTTTTTTTTTTGCAGTTGACGATGCTCTGCCGTGTGTGTGTGTGTGAGTGTGTGTGTGTGTGTGTGTGTGTTTGCACTGAATGTTTGCAGGATGCTTTGTGATTCATATCTTGCATCGTGTGCATCATTTTGAATCCAGATTCTCGGCGGCACAGGAACAACACGAACCCTTTGCTGAGCCCTCCGGGTGTTGACGGCCTCTGTCAGGAAGGTGAGTGTTGTGCTGTGACTGTTACTCAGACAAACTTTTTTGTTTTTTGTGTCTTTATATTGTGTTTTCGTTGTTTGTTTTTCAGGCCCTGAACCGACACATACAGCGACAGGAGCCTTCGCAGCCCCCGGCGGAGGCCCCCAGGATGCTCAACAGGCCCGAGTGTCAGCCATCTCTGTGGATTCATTCGAAACCTCCAGCACCTCGTCTGGGGAGAACTACGAGAACGTAACCAACAGCGGCTACATCAATGTCACTCCTGGTAGGTTCGATTCCTTCACTCTCACGTCTGTGGTTAAATGTGAGGTCGTGTGTTTGACCTGAGCCTTGAAGGTTCAGTGTGTGAGATTGAGGTGATGTTTTCACCGGTGTGTTTCATCTCAGTTGTATGAATTGTTGTTTTCTCTATCATAGAACGGAGCTCTTTATATTTAAAAACTTTATATTTACATGGAGGGGGTCCTCTCTGCGGAGGCCACCATGTTTGCAACATGCAACTTCACCTCTAGATGTCACTAAATTAAACTTAAGAGTTAAAT